TTAACAAAACATGAAGAGCACAATCATCCATTGGCTTCTAAGATCTTACTGAATGATATACAGGGTGTTTCAGTTTATTGTTGCATAACTTTAAGATTCGATAGAACTTTTAAAATTAATGCATAAAGACTATATAAACATGGGTCGAAAAATGCGTGGCTTCCGAAATACAGGGTGTTTAAATTTACTTTTTAAAATAGTTTTTTTTTAAATATTTCGAACAATATTTGATGCATAACAGTGAAAATTGGTATACAAGGGTTTTTTGGTACGACAAAACGAACCATGGGCATAGCTTTACTGTAGCCGTTAGAGGGCGCTCTCTACTGTACCTGTAGTGTATTAAAATGACCGACAAATATTTTTTGGTTCAACTTTTTGCTTTTTGAATTAAAAAAATGATTCTTCGCACTTTTCTGCATAAAAAAGCTCTCCTGTGAGTGTTCGTTATAGTTAGCCGTTTTTGAGATATTTCAATTTATAAGGTTCGATGCATTATTAATTATTTATGGGAAAATAATATTTTTTACATTTTCGATTTGGGCATTACAAGTAATTAAGATCATCGTTTAGATTGTGTTTTTATACACAGCAATAATTCCTAACTCCAAATAAACACAAAAAACAGAATATCAATTTGTTTAATTCTCCAATATTATTTTTAACAAATTAAATTAATTATTTACAACTAAAATGCTATTGGATAGTTAGGACAAACATACAAAATCTAAAGTAGTTGCTCGAAATGTAAACCCAATTGTTCAATACACAATTCACATCTACGAATGATCGAACGTGGTATAGCATTATTCAAATAAGGCCTTATTTCATCACATGCATTCCTGATTCTGTCTATTAGCAGATCTCTTGTGGTTACGGGAGATTGGTACATTTTTTCTTTTATAAATCCCCACACAAAGAAATCTAATGGATTTAGGTCAGGGGATCGTGGAGGCCAGGCGACTGGTCCTCCACGGCCGATCCATCTTTCTGGATAATTTTCGTCCAGCCAGTTTCTAACTATTCTCGAATAATGAGTTGGACAACCATCAAGCTGTAACCAGGCCAATCTTCTTAAATCTAACATAACATCACCCCACTTATTTGCATGTTCAGCCTTTAAAAATTCCAAGAAGGTCGCAGCATTTAACCTTGAAGGCAAAAGGTAGGGTCAAAATAGTCGATTACGGTAAATACCAATCCGCACGTTCACACTAAATTCATGCTGAACATTTCTTTCCCGAACTGCATGCGGATTTTCATGCGACCAAATATGTTGATTATGAAAATTTACCACTCCACGTCTAGTGAAGCATGACGCATCGGTCCATAAAACGTTACTTAAAAACTCCCTATTATTATCAGTTCTATCATGAATCCACTGACAAAATGTGATTCTTCGTTCTCCGTCCCCTGGCTGTAGTCCTTGCACAGGTTGCAAATGGTAAGGACGTCTATGGTCATTTCTAAGAACACGGTGAACATGGCTTGCTGAAATTCCCATGGCCCCAGAAACTCTCCTATCACTTGTGGTCGGATCTCTATCAAACTCACGCAGAATCATCCGGGTAAATCTGCGCTGACGAACATTTATGTTTTGATTCCTTTGGAGATTTTCAAAACCATTTTCAATTATTTGGCGATGCACTCTTACAAATACTGAGCGAGTTGGATGTCGTCTGTTTGGAAATCTTCGTGCGTATTCTCTGGCTGCTTCTGCTGCGTTTCCATTTACAAAGCCATACACAAAATGAATATCCGTTAACTCTTGATTGGAGAATAAAAATGGCATTTTTATAAAACTTACAAAAAAAAACGGTAAAAGAAACTAAATTTCGTGCATTCACAATTGCAAAAAAACGTTTCAGGTTTCAACCGACAACAAAACTAACTGTCAACTAATTGACGTTTAACCTTATTCTGCTTTCAATTTCAAAAATATTTGCAGCCTGCTTCTAAAAATTATCGAGATACTGACTTTTTAACGTTATTTTATCATAAATAATTAAAAATGCATCGAACCTTAAAAATCGAAATATTTCATAAACGGCTAACTGTAACGAAAATTCACAAAAGAGCTTTTTTATGTTGAGAAGTGCGAAGAATCAGTTTTTTTATTCAAAAAGCAAAAAATTGCACTAAGAAAAAATTGTCGGTCATTTTAATACACTACAAGTACAGTAGAGAGCGCCCTCTAGCGGCTACAGTAAAACTATGCCCATGGTTCGTTTTCTCGTACCAAAAAATCCTTGTTTACCAATTTTCACTGTTATACATCAAATATTGTTCGAAATATTAAAAAAAAACTATTTAAGAAAGTAAATTTAAACACCCTGTATTTCGGAAGCCACGCATTTTTCGACCCTTGTTTATATAGACTTTATACAATTATTTTAAAAGTTCTATCGAATCTTAAAGTTATGCACCAATAAACTGAAACACCCTGTATTGTAATGATGTTTTTGTTTTTCGGTGCAGTGAATTGTGTACTTTTTGACCGCCCCTCGTATTCACGTTTTCTGGAAGATGAGAAATTAGTCATTAAATACAGTTCCGATATTCTAAAATTGGGATAGTGCCCCGTTCTATATATTATTTTGTATCCTATACAGAGTCTCGAATACTGGAGCAAACCTGATATTTTTATGACATACCACAGTCGTTTTTGTTGCCATGTGTTACACACAGAAATGAACAGAAATTGATATTTTTCGTTTTCCGTCTTAGAAATTTTTATAATGAATGAAATGATTTAAATCAATTTTTAAGCCTTGTGGTAGCACTAGACGATATTCAGTACGTCAGGAATGCGCTATGAGACAGGACTAATAGGTTCAGGGATTTGCAAGGGAAAAACAACACGCCAAAGTGGCGTATTGAGGCACTGGCTGAAATGGGCATGTAGTGCCCTTATAACGAATGAGAAGTCTTTCTTCCACATTCAGATTCAGACTTGTCACACAATCCTCTTGGTGTTGTGAGCCCTGTAAGGTCCCTAGCAGTGGGCAAAAAGGTACTAAGGTCCCTTTTGGTTGTAGTACAGGTTTAAAAGCACTTTAGAGGGGTCATCGTGCGGGAATTGCAACCTGCACGGAGCTGATGCACTGCCGGTCGTCGGGGAGACGCTGTACTGGCTATAGGCCCTTTTGGGTCTAGAAATCCTGCAGGGTCTGATCTAGCTCTTTGGAATGAGATGCTCTAGGGGTGTGGGCACTCATTTTATAGGTTACGCCATAAGGAATCGAATAGAAATACTTTTGATTCAATCAACTGCACCGCGTCGGCGTCACGACGTCAAGAAGATTCGCAGTGGCGGACGGCATGACGTAGCGACCAAGGTCGGTTCTAGAACATTGGCGAGCACTATAAAAGCGCGGGCGTATGTACGCCGTGGCTCTTTCTTTTCCGTTGTTCTCTCCTGGCAGAAACCGTAGTACCAAAGCACCCGCTTGCACCAAGAGGTAAGGGGATGAGATACAAAGGTGTTCCGTTTAACCGTTTTAAACCAGTAACGTTCCGTTTTAGTGATATAGTTGTTTATCAGATATATCTACAGGGTGTTCCTTAATGATATGCGAATATTTAAGGGTGTAAAAATTAAGGTTAGTTTGCTTTATAAACTATGGTGCAAAAATGTTTCCTTACAAAAAGTCGGAGTGTTGAAGTTTTAGGAAAAAAATATTTGCAGAACCGCTTCAGATATTCCACTGATATTTAGTACGTAGTGAAAGTTGATAAAGCTGCATATTTTTCAATGCAAAAATAATTTTTAGCTTCAACAGTGGCGTGCGTAAGGGGTATTGACTTCGATATTTTTTAAGAAAAAAAATGGTACGCCATGTTTTTTTGCCAAATAGAAATTATTTTTGAATTCCCCATTCAATTTAAAACAAATGATCTCTCTTGAATTGTTTTCCTTCGATGCGCCATTTTTCAGTAAAAAAAATAAAAACCGTTCTATTGTCCGAGTAAATTAATGTAATAATTGAAGAATGCAATTTAGCAATAAGTATCTAGTTGCTCTAGAACATGTCACAGGCTTTTGACATCTGACAAGTCTCTGTTGTTCAAATCGGTTTGCTGTGACGTCTTTTTCATTATTTAGTTTTTATAATCTTGTTAATAATAGTGAATTATTCAAATGCAGAAATGGCGGAAATGTATTACGTATATGGCCTTGCCGACGGTAATGCTGAACAAGCCAGACGGATTTACCACCAGAGATATCCAGATCGTGCTTTGCCAAATAGTCGAACCTTTTCTCACTACGTACTAAATATCAGTGAAATACATATCTAAAGCGGTTCTGAAAATATTAACTAATTTCCATTTTTTTCCTAAAACTTCAACACCCCAAGTGTAAGGAAACATTTTTGGACCACAGTTTATAAAGCAAACTAACAGTAATTTTTCATGTAGATTCACACCCTTAAATATTTCCATATCAGTAAGGAACACCCTGTATACCCCGCTTAGTTTTACCTAAACATTATAACTACATAGATTGTTGGTTTTTCTGATACCAGCTCACACGCTCATTCAACCGTAGTTTTTATGAGAATTATTACGCATTCAACTATACAGACTTCTCTGTTATGCGCGAAATCTAAGGTGAACTCAAGTTTCTATACCGCGATGTGAACTACTAGAAGCAGTTTTGTTGTTTCAACTATTGCGCTTTGTTATTGACACATATAGTAATAAAATTTCCTTCAAACATATTTTCCCATTTACAGATTCTACAATCGTTTTATATTGGCTTAATTCCTCACCACACAGATGAAAACCATTTGTAGCCAATAGGATATCAAGCATTCAAGAAATGCTACCTGATGTTCGGTGGTGCCATGTGGCTTCGAAAAATAGATTGCGCATCTCGTGGTTTACAGCCCTTAGATTTTAAAAACTATGGACAGTAGTGGGCAGGCCCTGCTTTATTGTCGCATCCATTGATTCTCCCACCGCATGTCCTCCAATAAACATACCACACTGTGTGGACAATGAGCAAAAAAAAAACCGCTCTTATGTCAAACATAGATCCGAACATATTGGATATGCTTTTGATCAAATTTTCAGCGTTATGCATATATTCAAAGATTTATTTATAACGCTAGACATCCCAAAACAAAATTTTTATCTCCACTCATCGCTTCATGTCTGAAGAACGAAATGCACGCTTTGCTCAAGCACACTCAAAGCCAATACTTTTCTTCAGACATTTATAGTTTAAAGGCCAATAAGGTCGCTTCTAAACCGCTAAGGAAACTTGGCGTTTTTCTAGATGATAATGGAATTCTCAGAGTTGGTGGTAGACTACACAATTCACACTTAAGTTATGACAAACGATTTCCTAACACTGATACTACCAAATTTATCCTATGAACAAGGGACGAAAAGCGAAAATTGTATATATGTGTTTTAAATGTTTCCCAATCCATTTTTCGGGCTAGTGCAGAATCGTTAGGCCACGACGAGAAAAGTGGACGTCTATTTATCGTCCAAAACAGTCACTGCCGATTTTTTCCAAAAATACCTTATCCGAGATAATTCAGTTAATTTTCACTTAAAAATTTGCAGGAGGGCAAACCCGAAGACGTCGGCATACCGTTTGATTCGGATCTCATCAAATGCTGCCCCATGTGCAACGTTCCTATCGAAAAAGACGAGGGCTGCGCGCAGATGATGTGCAAAAGGTGCAAGCACGTCTTTTGTTGGTATTGCCTCGCCAGCCTGGACGTGAGTACATTTGGTTGTAGCTTAGTAGATACTTCCTATCTTCGCATCTGCTGGGAAAAATATTCTGATTAATTTTTTTTTTTGAATAATCTCATTCAAAAAGGACCGACACCCTTCAAGGCCGTAAATTGCATCAAAAATCGATATTTTTTTAACCGTTTGCACTCCAGACAAAGTTGTTCTAGAGTTTTTCAGTCATTCTGAACAAGAGAGATTCTCAAGAACTTTTATCTATAGTAGATATGTTATATTTTCAATTTGTTTGTTTGTTTCACAAAATATATTATGTCTTCAAGACTACATATTTTCATTACTGTGAATTCTGGTTTTCCATGAGATATGTTTTCAATTTCCCTTTGAACATTTTCAAACTGACACACATCTTGATATCATTACTTAATTTATTAAATTCGTAGAATCCCTTTTGAAATCCCGACTTGCTCGTTATTGCTACTGCAGTTTTGTAAATGAATAGTAGAATAATTGTGGCACTCATTGTTCAATACAATAAAATTTTCTAAGTGATTTGGTAGAAGATGATTTTTCAACTTGAACATGAAAATGAAAACCAAGTAGGCTATGAATTTTTTGATATTTAACCATTGTAGTTCTTTCAGCAGAAAATTTATTCCAGTATATTTATTTTTATTTAAGATGATTCTCGTAGCTTTATTTTGTAATATTTGTAATTTTGAAAATACAGTTTCATTTGCAGTGAACAAAATAGTTGAACAATATAACAAATGAGGAAGAATGATTGTGTTGTACACAATTTTTTAGAATAGGCCATACGATATTCTATAAAAGTAAATTATTTTCTGGGATATTTTTGAAATAATATATTCATAGTGCCCTTCAAATTTTAATTTACTGTCTACGTATATGCCCAAATATTTAAATGATTTGATTGACACAATTTTTTCATGATTAATTGTAAGATTTATCATATTTTGATCTAAAGATTTTCCTATTAGCATATATTTTGTTTTTTTTGTGTTTAGTTTAAGTTTGTTTACATTTAACCAATTTATTTCGTTTTTCATATCATTATTTAACAGCTCTATTGCCGTTTCAATGTCTTTATTTGATATATATCAATGTATCATCAGCAAATAGTTGAATTTTGCAGTGTTGTAAAATATCAGGGATATCGTTAATATACAGGGTGTCCGCAAAGTTGGGGTTTTCCTTTTCAGAAACAACTACCCTTGAAATAACAAAGGTAATGTGTAGTGAAACGAGGGCGACCAAGTAAAAAAAAATAAAGGAAACAGTACTCACTCTCCAGTTGACAAGAAGGGCTAAGTACGTCTCTGCCCGAAATCATACCGCTCCCACAGAAAATGAAATCAGCTGAAGCGCTACCGAGCAGACGCAGGCTAACAAGGAAGGTAAAATGTTGCGTAAATAGTCTAGGTATTGCATCCCGTCCAATCGATTTGGGAGAATAAATGGTCCAATGAGCATACCGTTCACCATGCCAGCCCAAACATTCACCGAAAATGTGCCCGGCGGACAGCGTGCGGATTTTCTACTGACCAAACATGAGCGTTGCGAAAGTTATTCACCCCATTACGCGTGAACGTAGATTCGTCTGTCACCAATATGCACTTCAAAAAGTCCGGATTATTGTCATGTTGATGCAACAACCACTCACAAAACCGCACTCTTGCTGGAAAATCGTCAGGTTAAAGGGCTTGTACACGTTGGACGTGAAACGGATACAGCCCCTCTTCACGCAGCGTTTGCCACACTTTAGTTTTTGATACTTGCACTTCTCTAGCCACGTCTCTAGTGCTTGTTGAGGGATTCACGTCTACGCGATTACCTCTACACGCGTGACCGTAACCGTCGGTTGAAGGTTGCATACTGACCTGACACACTGACCCCGACCCAGTTCTGTCGTCGGGTTGAGCTAGTGTCCTAGTACCATTCGGGGATGTCGCGGCTACAGGACGGTATTCAGATATTTTTGATGTTGCAAAGCCCTATATCTCGGTTCCCTGAAGACATTGGTGTATATGGTACTAAGAAAAATTGCTTATGTTTTCAAGATCTACACGTCGTGTAAAGGAAAACCCCAACTTTGCGGACACCCTGTATACAGGGTGGCCTATCCATGTGTGGACGGAATATTACTCATAAAAAAATACATTTTCGGAAAATCTCCTTATAGCATGTTATACATGACATTTGAGGGCACATTTCTAAAATATTGGCAATTATACAGGGTGTCCCAATTTTGACCTACATATCAAAGTTGTGATTTTTTAAATGGAATGCCTCAAATTTTATTGCTTATTTGGATAAACCAATTCAAACGAAGAAGATTGATATAACATAGTATGGAGTTTTAGTAATTAGCTACTGAGATGTAAGATGTTTTGTCCAGAAAAACCGTCCTCTTCGGCAACCCCTCAATCCGCCATTTTGAAATTTGGAGTGATGAATTTTGTATCAAACAAAACTTACACACCTCAGCTCTTATTCGTTACTTTTTCGAATTTTAATTTTTGCTCATACAGGGTGGTCAAAAACGCAAATTGTAGTTTTTCTCAAAAATTTCAAATGCATCACCCTGTATATTTGTGCAAGTTTGGATTGAATGATTGAATTTTTTATAAGCTTTTTTTTAATACTAGACACATAAGGGTTTTTACGGCTATTTTTTTCGGTTAGGCTGGCCACTTTTTCCTGTGACCACCAGGTAAATTTCGAGGTTTTCTCTTTTGCGGGAACGATTATTTAGTTCTTTCTCGCCGGTTCATGTCGATAATCGATATAGACAAGTTAGCTGTCTGTGGAGGTTACACCAATTTTTAGTTAGAAGGTGTTCAACTTTTTCCAGAATATAATAATTGAACATGCAACTTTTATAGTCCTACAAAACAGTTAAAATAAATGACTCAACTTTGAAACCCTGTATTTTTCCTACATATGTCAAGGAAAGATAAATATGTAATATATAAATTATCTTATACAGTTTGAAGATTCGGCGTACCTAAGTGAGCGTCCCTAGTCACGATTTGATTCCGCCTTTTGGAACGACTTAACACATCATGTTTCTCCGAAACCTCCAAAGAAGGCTAATTGACGCCATTTTTTGTTTGACTCTTACATCTAAACTGGTGGACAATTGCTTTACAACATGGAAAATCCTACCCAAATTCAAATCCGAAATTTTCGGAACGGAAAGAGATATCGAGTTGCGCTATTCGGGAGGTTCTCCACCAACTCTTTGTCGGATCCCCAATTTCAGATCTTGTCCATTTTTCTACCTGTATGCATCTTTTTGATCTTTGGAATATTTCTATGACTTTTCTCCGGTTTCATCCTCACTACCTACACCTCAAACATGCAATTGCTCAGTAACAATAATATTGAATGTAGGCTTAATAGTATAATTTTATTTTCTCAAAAAGACCGAGAGAATTGTTTAAGATCAAGGTCCTTTAGTGAATGATCTAGCTAAACATCATTGAGGATCAAGACAAAATGCTCCTGAACAATGGAGGAGCTGTCTGGGGCTATTCAGGAAGAGTGGGAAAATGTATCCCGAGAATTTATTAGTTACCTTCTGGAAAGTATCGTAGGCTGTGATCGATGGGTGACCCTACAAGGTACTAACAATATTGTTTAAAATAACTGTTGCTGTTTGTAAAAAGTTCGTTTTTGTCATGAATAAATAATTTGGGTATTTAACTGGTCTTCAGATTTTTGGTTTCTAAAATGTTACATTTTGTTAATGTTAATCAATAAATTCTTTGATGTAGTTTAAAAATTTAATAGAGTCTATTACCTGGAAAACATCTTTACTGAAGACGCGTACGCCAATGCTGAATGACAAAGATAAAAAAATATAGATAAAATATGGAAAGCAGTGTTGGCCAACATCATAGCATTTTGAAAAATATATTTTTTTTTAAATTAATAGCACTTCTTACCAAACCGAAAAATGCTTTTGTTGTTACGCCACTGGAATACAGCCTATATTGAAAGTAGTAACTTGGATTTGTTGTTTAATTGCATTGTAGAATTTATAAATTCTGCTTAAATTACATAATACAATATTAATAATAATAATAATAATGAAGTGTTTTTATTATTGTAAAATAACAAATATATGTAATGTCACGTATTCATGTTAAGGGGTGATAGATTAGGTCAAAAGCAACTGATTTTGTCGTATAATGTCCTATCCAGAAGTTAACGGTTTTTGAGTTATTTGAATTTTATTTTTTTTATTTTTTATTCCGTTTTCAGACGGTTAAATTTGAAATACAAAAAAACTACATGTTTGATTTTGAGTTTTTTGTTATCGTCGTATAGCGGACTTTCCAATAGTTCATAATAAGTAATAAAATGTTGAAAACTTACAAAAGTTTTAAAATAACGCTTTTTAAATGTATGATTTTCTTATTTTTTTACTAACTTATTCGATAAAAATACAATTTTCTGTAAAAAATCTCCTACTAACAAAATGCCCAAATTATGTAAACAATATCTCTATCTAACAAGCTTTCATTTGAGGTATAAGAGTTCCAACTAACTAAGTACAAAGACATAAAATTAAAAAAAGATGAGTAAAGTTGTAAGAACGATAATTACGTAGGATAAATAAAAGGCTTTTATTTTAATTACAGTTTTATTTAATTACATTTCCTTTAGTATTTTACAGATTCTGCTAAAATTGTAATCCCCTGTTACGAATACACGCCCGCATTCTCTTACGTAATTCACTTTTGGTAACTCTAGTTGTTAAGCGGCTTTTTATTTGGTCAGCTGTACTGATTATCCTTGTAATTAATTCATCGCGCGTTGGTACGTGCGAAACATCGTCCACCAGGCTTTTCATATGTCCCTACATATAGTAATCCATCGGTGTGAGATCTGGGCTTCTTGCTGGCCAGGCAATGGGCCCGCCTCTGCCAATCCATTGATTTGTAAATTTAGAGTCTAAATACGCCCGTACTAATCTACTGTAGTGTTCGGGACAGCCGTCGTGCTGGAACCGCATATTCTGTCTCGTCGCCAATCTGACGTCTTCCATTAATGGAAACAAGTGATTTTTTAAGAACTCTTCATACACTTCTCCATTTCAATTGGCGGGCAGAAAATAAGGTACAATTAAATATCCATCAATGATGCCCATCCACACATTGACTGAAAACCGTATCCGAGACCCCGTCGGTCTTATTTTTCGGGGGTTTAAAGCTTTACAGCCCAGTACATTTCATTGCTAGGAGATTTTTATCGAATAAGTTGGTAAAAAAAAAAGAAAATGATACATTTAAAAAGAATAATTTTAAAACGTTTGTAGCTTTTCAACATTTTATTTCTTATTATGAACTATTGGAATGACATAGCCCCAAACTTTGCTAAAAAACATGACTTACTTTTGCTCACCCTGTATCAGTTGATAAATAAAAGAAATATACCAATCGAACCCTGTACGTTTTCTCAAAGAGTTGTTGAAGAACTTCCCGAATACCGCAACTCGATAACTCTTTCCGCCCGAAGCATTCGATATTTGAATTTTGTTAAAACAGTTTATTACAATGTCTCTCGTATTTTTACAGGACGACTTCCTTCTGTGGCATCGCACGCAAGTGGTCGGCATCTTCGCCAGCTTCGGCAACCTGCTTCTGGCCGCTTCGCCGCTCCTGTTGTTAGCTGCGCCGTGTATCGCATGCAGCCGGTGTCTCCTCTTCGCGGCTCAGCGAGGACGACGACAACGAGGGGGCGGAGCGGAGAAATTCGATGGTCGGAGCGCGTAAGCGCGGAGCCAAGAAGACACGCCCACCGGGGGCCGATGACCACCGCCCATTAACGAGGCGGGTCTGACCAGCTGCCCCTGGTGCTTGTGAGGACACGCTATTCGTACGACGACGTCACGAACGGAGACAGAAATTGGCTGTTATATGAGGTAGATAGTCTAAGATCTTGTTATGTAGTCATTGATTAACATATTCCATATAATTGAAAGTCGTGCCTGCGCGAAAATAAGCCTACGTACCAGTTTGCGAACGAACTAGTTTCATTGAACAGTTTTTTACGATTGAATTAAGTGAACTAGTTCATCATTCCTTGAAAAACTCGTTAACTGGTATTAGAGGATTCCGATGATTCTATCGAACTAGGTGTGAGTGAATGAATGAGATAGAAGAAATAAGTCGGAACACCACCGTAGACAGAAGGGTATAGAATGTGTTATTTAAGCACGTGGCCAAACTTCAGGAGGTGATTATATGAGTAATTTTAAGTTGAAAAGTTTATAGAAAACATAGGTCCAGAAATTCTTCATTTTCAGATACAGGGTGTTAAACTTTTTGAAAAATCGTTTTTCCCTGAATATCGATAATTTAGCGGTGGCATTAAGAGCAGTTGATTGAAATTATTAAGTCCAGTGGCGTCCCGGAAAACACCTTAATCGATATCTTTGACAAAAAATTTATGCGTCACTGACTTTTCTCCATTCTATTTTTTCGGATTAAGCAGCTAAAAATACAACTATTTTGTCTTTTGAGTTTCTTTATATGTATATCACTTGGTTTAACATAAGAAAACATCATATTCAAATTCTTTTATTAGGTCCGAACACTGTACATAAGTATAGAGAGGATCACGTCACGTGTAACACGGAATATTTCAAAAAGTAAAGATGAAATAAAACACAAACTAAAAGAACAACAAACAAACTGAATATAGAAAATTTAAAACATGCATGTGAATGCCAAGTTAATGGACCTCCTTACAATTGAATTATTTCAGGTCGTTCAAAACCACAAGGAACTCATCTATGCTGCAAAAAGGGTTAGATAAGAGCATCCTCTTAAGGTGATTTTTTAAGAGTTTAACATATTCTGGTAAATAATTGTAACGGGTGATTTTTTAAGAGCCTTTTTTTGAAACACTGAATAAAACAGCTAAAAATGCATTATCTTTACAAAATCCATATTGGAATCGATAAACTGGTTCTTGTCATTTACTTTTTAAAATGTCCATTGTTTCACGTGCTGTGTGGCATGTGACGCCGTCTTGTTGAAACCACATGTCAACCAAATCAGATCTTCCAATTTGGGCAATAAAAAGTTACGCATCATGGATCGATATCGTTCGTCGTTGTCCGTATTGTTTGGGCAATTCTTGTATAGCCTTATCACACCAGATGCGGCAATTTTGCTTGTTAACGTATCCATTTAGCCAAAACTGAGCCACATCGCTCAACACAATTTTTCGATAAAAGCTGTTGCAAGGCCCAATCACTAAAAATTATTAATAATAATTTTCTACAACCAGTCGTTTATTGTTTGCTTTTGCAACAACAGGTTTATGAAATTTCTATCCCGTATTTTATTTACAGATGAAACGTGCTTTTCCCAAACTTCAATTATGAACTTTCGCAATAATCATATCTGTGCTGAAACCCATGCGGTTACAAAAAATAATTATCAACAACAGTTTTCGGTGAACGTTTGAATTGGTATTGTAGGTGATTATCTCATTGGACCTCATTTTTTACCGTCGAGATTAAATGGTCCAGAGTATCGTCAGTTGTTGGAATTTATTTCACCTGAACTTCTAGAAAATGTCCCGCTGGAAGTAAGAGGAGCAATATGGTTATGCACGATGGAGCTCCACCTCTCTTCAGCCTAGTAGCTCGCCAATATTTGGATACAACTTTCTCCACCTACGCCACCGGATTTAAATCCGTTAAATTTTTTCTTTGGGGGTATTTATAGTCCTTCGTTTACAAAACTCAAGAACCCTGAAGAAGGATTAACCCAACGGATACGAGATTCATGTGATCATCAAATAAGACATGCCGGGAATATTTCAACGAGTTCGACAATTAATATTAAGCCGAGCTAATGCTTGCGATGAGGGCATTTTCAGCAACTATTATAACTATAAATGTTTTTATTGAAACAAAAGTTTAAGTGTAGTTTAAAAAAAAAACGTTTTCCCGGTCTATTTTTTTTTTAATTTCCAGCGCTATGTAGGTAAATATTTTATGTTTATTTGTTTTATCGACAGCAGGTATAATCTGAGCAGTAACATTCAAAAGACGACTTTCGTGTATCTTAATTATCAAAAACATGCAATAAAGTGCTTTTTATGTTTTATCTCGCAAACGAAGTGAGATAATATGAAAGAAACCCAAGACCCAAAAAGTTGTATTCTTAGCCGCTTAGAACAATTGAAAAAGTCAGTGGCGCACAAATTTTTTGTCAAAGATGATGGTTAGGGTGTTTTTCGGGACCCCACTGGATTTAATAATTTCAATCTAATTGGGGCTAATTTGGCTTCTTATTACCCTTAATACCACTGCTAAATTTGAACAAAATCGACAGAAAGTTCATTAATTAATACATTAAGGAAACTGATTTTAAAAAAAAAAGCTTGATACTTCTGAGGTTTGTCCACGTACTTAAATAACACCCTGTATAGCTGTTTGTCTGGAAGTTGCGAAAAAAGATGACAAATGCTGTTAGTTATAAAGGCTGAAAGAAATAAATACTAGCCAACTTTCATAAAAAAAGATCATCCATTCAAACTCATGAGGAAATTGAAACGGTGTTAAAGTGAAAATGTTAACTATTTATAAATGTCCCTTTAAGAACATGAATTTATTAACTGTATCGGCTTAAAACCTATTTCAGCTAACAAGACTGCTTGCCCAGCCTTCGATAAAAGCCGCTCGTGTGGCACAGATGTCAGACACAAATGTCTGTTAATTACGAGGGTTATTTCAAAAACAAGGTTCCCACATTTTTTCGCGGACTTAGAGAAATCCGAGATTGTCTCTTCTTATTTCTGCTCTTCTAATACCTCTCTTGTGCTGTATCTGCTCTAGCGGCCTTATTTAGTGCTCGATTTGTCTAAAACTCGGAGGGTGAGTATATCTTATGACACCCAACACTGCACCACCACTTTCACCACTTCTGCCAAAAGGGCACTAGTCTTTAAACCAAACTTCTCACTGCACCAGGACGGGGGCACAGCGCTAGTACTTTGCCCCTTTCACACTGTTGACTACCTAACCTAACTTTCGGTCGCGTGCGACTTACAGCTGTTAATGCCTTACCGAACGGAAACCGAGTGCATAAGGGTCCGCTGAAGCGGCCTATGCACTGGCTCCTTATGGTGACCGGAATGCCTCTAATTTCAAGATTCATTCATTCATTCATGCCCAATCCTTGCTTCCTTTCTTCGAAGTGGCACGTCTTGGCGAAATGATTTATCCTCTGAAATTCGGACAAGTTCTGTTAAATGCCGAACTTTTTCTAAGTGCATGCTCTCTGCCACATTTCCTGCATTGCTTTACGAAGATGACTTGCTCTACTGTTTCTCCTTTTTTTATGCTGCTTGGACATTTCTGTAGACTTGCAATGATCTACAATTGAATGAATGAATGAATCTTAAAATTAGAGGCATTCCGGCCACCATAAGGAGCCAGTGCATAGGCCGCTTAAGCGGGCCCTTATGCACCTCTACAATACTTAAATCACAAGCCTCGCCCTTTTAGCGAAGTTGAGAATCGCCTTGAGTCCAAGCTCCTTGACGTCCTGAGGGTCCAAAGTAATGGACCCCAGTATAGTCTGCCTATAGTAGCTCAGAGCTTCACAGCGACACAAAACGTGCACCGAGGTCTCTTCCTCTACTCCGCAGCGTTCGCACAAGGGATCCTCAGCCACCCCCATCACGTGCAGGTGTCGCCTTAACGTGTTATGGCCAGACAACAGTCCCACCAGCAACCTTAGGTTGGCTCTACCCAGAGATAGACAGAAGCGTCCATCCTTAGCACTGGGCCCTTCAATGAGCTCTCGTGCCTGGCGGAGATGTCTAGAGATACTTCTCCATGTCTGAGAGTGTTGTCTTGCAACCCACGTCTCCATTTTCCTCCTAGCTTTATGCGCGGTTACTCCTAGAGCTGGCTCAGGACCAACGAGCTTGCTGGCTGATCCTGTTTTCGCCAGAGTGTCCGCCGTCTCATTGCCCCTTATCCCAGCGTGCCCCGGTACCCATATTAACGATACCGGATGCCTCGCTGCGAGGCAATCCAGAGCCTCCCTGCATTGCAATACAAGGCTCGAAGTAATCTTACAGGCACTTAGTGCTTTCATTGCAGCCTAACTGTCGGATAAGATTGTTATTCTTCTCCTAGGCCCACCCTCCTCCAGAATGTGAGATACACAAGCCAGAATCGCAAAGATTTCCGCCTGGAAAATGGTGGTGTATCCACCGAGAGGCAGAGATAGCCTAGTTCTAGGCCCAGGGACCCCAGCACCTGAGCCCTCTTCGGTGACCGAGCCGTCCGTGTACCAGACCTGCCCGCTCACTTCGGAGGGTCCTCGGCTACCGGCGTCCCACTCCTCCCTCGTTGGATACTCCACAATAAACTTGCGGTTGAAGCGATATTTAGGGGTAATACGATCACCCCTGCTTAGAAGGACGGGGTCATCCCTTTCTAATTCGACTAAGATGGCAGTATGCCCCTTAACCGGATTCAAGAAAGCGCAGCTGCCCTGACTCCACAGTCGATGAGCGACTACTCTCGCTTCTCCGCGGATCACCAGATCCAACGGTGGGAGATCCAACAGAGCTTCCATTGCACTCAATGGCGTTGTTCGCACTGCGCTTGTAATACTAATACAGGCCAAACGCTGAATTTTATTGAGTTTGGCCTTAGTTGACTCAGTTCTAATGCAAGGCCACCAGACCAGGGAGCCGTACAAGAGAGATGGACGTACTATCGTCGTGTAGAGCCAGTATACCACTTTGGGTTTAAGCCCCCACCTTACACCGACAACACGTCTACAAGCTCACATCGAATTGCGAGCCTTGCTAACCTTGTGTTCCACATGCTCTCTCCAGTTCAGTTTGCAATCCAGGATAATTCCCAGATATTTCACTGACTGGGACAAAACTAATCTAGTCCCAAAGAAGGTCGGCATGACCAGTCCGTCAAGCCTTCTTCTCCTAGTGAATAGGATCAGCTCGGTCTTTTCAGCATTAACAGAAAGATCGACTTCCCTACACCACGATTCCACGGAGCGCAGAGCGCCCTGCATAATTTCCGAGACTGTTCTACAGAAACGCCCCCTAACTACTATGCTTACGTCATCAGCATAGGCTTGCGCATAGACACCCATACTGCTGAGCCTAACGAGGAGTTCGTTCACCACGATACACCACAGTAGGGGTGACAGAACTCCGCCCTGAGGGCAGCCTCTAGCTACGCTGCAGCTTACGTTATTCAGCATAGCTGTTGTTACCCGACCCTCCAGAGTAGAGAGGACCCAATCTATTAGGATTGATCCAACCCCATGTCTAACCAAGGCCTGTCTGATAGAGTCGGTTGTGGTGCAATTAAATGCACCTTCAATGTCCAAGAAGGCCACGAGTGCCACTTCTCGCTGATCTAGAGTCTTCTCCAGCCTCCCGACCAGATTGTGTAAGGCCAGATCAGTCGATTTTCCAGCTTGGTATGCAAACTGATTTGCATGAATGACACACCTTTCCAGCGGGCCATCCCTTAGGTATCTATCAACTATCCTTTCCAGGGTCTTAAGCACAAAAGATGAAAGAGTAATCGGTCGAAAATCCTTCGGGCCAGTATATCTATCTCTGCCCGGTTTAGGAATGAATACCACTTTAGCCTGCCGATAGCTTCTAGGTGTGAAGCCCGTGGCCACACATGCTCGAAACACATTCAACAGGTAAGGAACAACCGAAATCCGTCCCTGCTGTAACATGGCCGGAAATACGCCGTCCAGACCTGGACTTTTGTATGGGGCAAACGAATCTACTGCCCATACCGTCCTTTCGAAGGAGACAATCTCCCTAGCCGTGCGCCAGTCCTCCCTTGAGGGCCTGCGCAACTGCATGCACTCTGTGATTGATCGCGCTACTGTGGAACCGGGAAAGTGCATATCCATCAGAAGCCTCAGAGTATCTTCCTCAGAAGTAGTATTCCCCCCGAGGGATCATGCAGAGAATCCCAATCTTGCTTTAATGTCTTTGCATAGGACTCTGTGTATTCTTGCAGTAGCAGGAATGTCATTTATGGACTGACAGAAGTGCCTCCAGGATTCTCTGGAGGCCTTTCTAATCTCCTTTTTGTACTCCTGCAATGCCTTTTTGTATTCTTCCCATAGAGGAGAACCTCTCCTGTGCTTAACTCTGCTAAGAAGTTTGTGCACCGCTCGTTTTCTATCCTCTAAATCTTTGGTCCAGAAGGTTGCCTTGCCCTTACCTTGGACTTTGCGTAACGGGCAGTTTTTCTCATATGCAGCCGTCAAGTCCCTGCTCAGAGACTCGACAGCTGCTTCTACGTCAGAGCCCCTGCCAAGCCTGTATGGGACCGCTCCAAGCTTACTGTCAATGTCTGCCCTAAAGGACCCCCATCTAGTATGCCTGGGATTCCGAGCATATTTATCCGGAATCTCTCCATCAGTCTTGAACAGTATATACCTGTGATCCGATAGAGAGGGTGTTAGAGACACTTTCCAGTCCCTGATGTCCTGAGCTAAGTTAAGCGTGCTCAGTGTTACGTCGTTAACCTCTTCTCTTACACTATTGCTGAAAGTGAGCATGTTACCGACATTCAGAACCTCAAGGTTCGATGCCCCTAGAAACTCCATCAGGTCTTCGCCCCGTCTGTTGGTGTTCGAGCTGCCCCACGTAACGTGATGGGCATTACTGTCGCATCCAATCACAAGGTCGAGTCCAGAATCCCTACAGAATGCGACAAGGTCCCCCATTTCCTTAGACGGAGGAGGGTCTCTTGAATCGTAAGGAAGGTAAGCCGAACATACAACCAAGTTTCTGTCACTGCCTTCCTTCTTATATCTAATTCTGACTGCAAAGAAGTCTCTGAATGTAAATTCTTTAAGTTGCCATGAGTTGACGGAAGTCATTACGCAAGCTCTGGGCTTAGTGTCCGGAGTATCGCTAAAATGCGTATAGCCCGGTATACCAAGTCCGTTTACTGAACCGTTTCTCAGCCAGGGTTCCTGGATGAGAGCCACGTCATGTCGGCCTCGAGTGATCTCCTGAGTAAGGGCCCTTCCAGCTTATGGAATCAACTGAGAGGACAAGCCGGATACCTTTCTGCTCTTCCTTCCTCTCAAATAGCCTCCACGTGCTGGGAAAAGTCCCAGGATTGTGCCTCCTGAGTCTCCTCGTGATGACCTCGTTGTCCAGGTTGGGACCCGGAAACCAGGCCATCACGCGGTGGTATATGGGAAGGTCTCCAAAGCTCATCGTAATGAGCCTTGCGCCTTCCCACGGCCGCAGATCCCCCACGTGGGCCTCCAACCATGCCCTAGAGGATTCGTCCTCGCAGACAAAGATGGCTGCCCCTCGAGAGAGGTAGCAGTCAATGTACCTGGGAAGGGCCACCTCATCTGGGATCCCATCTATCAGCACACTGACCGCCTCCTGGACCTGCTGCACCTGTACGTTAGTAAGTTGAGTCCCAGGATAACCGTCGGACACGACAGCCACCCTGAGACCCGCTTGGGACGCTCGCGCATAGCTAATTTGCGCATGCGTCGCAGTGCGAGGCTTCTTCCGCGAGGATGCGCCCTCCAGTGTCCCACCGGCAGACCTCTGCCGCTTCCCGTCACCAGGCCGCTTTAGGGCCTCCGCTGACACACTGGATTGCGCACCGTCTAGCCCAGATGGCGGTTGGGTCCGTCCAGCCGGGGTCCCAGAAGTGGTGCCCCGACCTTCCGAGCCCTCCGTCATCTGCGCCTCTCTCCGCTTCCTAGCCCTTTTCCTTTCGGAACCTGGCCGAGACTTCTTCTTAATTTTTAGAGAGCCCACCCTTTCCGCTAGCTCTCTCGCTAAGCTTCTGACAGATTCCTCTGTCAGAGTACGATCAGGGTCCCCTGGTGAGGGGTCGCCTGGATGTTCGGGGTCCCCTGTAGGGGGGTTTTTTATTATTTTCGTTTTCGTTTGGTTCCATATTGTTCCCACGAGTATAGGGGAAGTGGTGATCGACGTCCGCGGTGCCCCTACACGGACGCAAGGCTGGATACTCTGGGAGGTCGCCCGGTGTCACAGAGGCTCCGTTTAAGACGGTGCATCCCCACCGCCACGCACCCCTCGGCACGGAATCGCTTAACACCTTGGGTTGGGTAACGTACCATTGCCCATGATGACCGTTGAGCTGCGTCCCAGATATACGTCCGGGACACCTGTGGCTCAACGAATCATTCGATTGGCCGGGCTACCGGCTTTCCGGCGGGTCTCCTCAAAAACTAATCGAGGCGGTCCACCGCAAGACCGGCACCCCGTTGCCCCCCCTACACGGTCGCACACGGTTCAGCGCCCAAGGCCGCCCCGCAGAACGAACTCGAGGACGTACGGGTTGGATTTTGTAGAGGTGATCTACAATTTACGACAGTGTCATATTTGACTGTCTAATCAGCCTTATCTGTATTTGTTTGTCATGAGTTTCCAGTAATAGGCGATCTTTCATCATTGCGTGTGTTGGAAAATTCAACTTTTCGGTTGTGGTGTCATCACAAGCGTTTGGCTTAGGTGTCCAGTGGTGACTTTTCTGTTTATCGTAAATTTCCGAACATTGCAATAAAACTGCGTCACTTTTTGAAAGACTCGGGAATCTAAAATTGTTGGCTATTTTTAAATTGTTTGAATTTATTCTACTTATTATATGTGTTATAGCTAAAACCTGTTATTTTTCAACTGCTCAAGAATTTTCTCCAGATCATCCTCATTCCCGATCGTTTCGATCGCTTCAAGAGGCAGAACTGATATCTTTAAGCCAATTTTAACATCACAACCAAACATTGCTTAGTACGGCGATATTTTAATTCCATGATGGTATGCTCCATTTTTTATTAGTTGAACGAATCTTTTTGACAGTTTTCATCGGTCATCCACACCATGAGCAATTCTTTCGTCATCTTGATTGGCACGTTCTTTGCTACCTTGTGACTGACTATGGCGCGGCTTTCCATGTACAAACTTTAGACCTGGGCACATTTCTGTCAAATTTCTCACAACTCCTTAACGAACTCCCGACCATTAATATAGCCCATACTTAAAGCAACATTTGAATCGTACAAAATCAAACGTTTAATTTGGACGTTTCTCAAAGCTCTATTTACTATTAAGTATCGTTTTATCATTCCCTTTCATCATCGTTCCCTATGAAACGGTGTTACGTAGAGTTTGCCCAATAAAGTGAACAATTATTACTAGGTAATCTGTATTTTATCGTTTTCAGGTTTTATACTAAAAGTTGCATCAAAGACAAGCACAGTAGTTCGATCTGGATAATATCAGCATCTTTTTCAACAGACACCGTTTGAACACCTTAAAATAGGTTTGTTACCACCTTCTTGCAAACATAGAAGTAAGCTTTATTTATTAAAATATAAATGTAATTGGGAGGTTTTATAACTTTTTTGTTTTATTATAGCACTTTTTATCAATTGTGATTTTCCAGCTAAACAGAGTAGGCAATACGATAAATTATTGTGTAACATTTGACACTTATCATGTGGTCTAAATGTCGATAATCCCCCATGCATGTCTGGCCAATTAATACGCATTTGGACTCTGCTGGTTACGCGTGACGTCAAATGGATAATGAAGACAGAAATAAAATATACCGTATTGCCATTCTACTGAAGGTCACATTTGTGATTGAAACGTTTACACTAAAGAAGATTATGTCAGTGCATGTGGTTTTATTGGCCGGACACGCATGGGAGATTAATAAATGTTTACCTAAAAATTTTGTCAATTTATTACGAGTGGTGTATAGTGATGAAATTTGAATCTTTAGGACGTTATATTTTGTTTAAGAGACATAAGAGAATACTAAATTCTTTTTCTTATTTAGTAACATTTCAAAATTCCCCCTATTGACAGGTGACAATCAAAGCCATATTTTGTTGTCGTTTTTTGTACACCTGGATTCATATGAAAAAAGACTAAATGCCAGAACACAGCGGCTGCTATGAAGAAATTTTGTTAATCCGATTTTTTGACCCATTGACGACGACCTGTAGGTACCATCGGTGGTCCACGTGATGTTTTGCCAACAGCCGGAGTTGACCACCAGTGGTGTAAATACTGTTTCTATGCGACTTAAATTCGTTGAATTTTCAAAAAGGTTTCTCTTAGGAGACAAACGGTTACTACAATGGTAAATTCGAAATCACGAAAGTTGACGATTACGTCATCATTTTAGTCTATAGAAAAGACAAACGACAGAGATTTGTGAATATTTTTAAAGAAGTTTCAGATATGTTAGACAGAGAGAAACAGAATTTTATTGTCTAAACAAACTGTATTGCTAGTTTGCATGTATCCGACAAAGATAGACAAAGTTTTCATGTTGTATGATCGACCATATTTGAAAGATGAAAAGTTAGGTTATCTTAAAGCAGGTAGGGTTGTTTTCAAATAATACTTTGGTCTTTGGTGTTCCTGTCTCAAGGTATTCTACCCGTAACTGTTTTTTTCAAAACAAAAACTCCCCACTAAAATTATTATTATGGTATCACTCAAAACCATGAAATAAAATGTAAAAAAAAATAATCAGTAAAATAAATACTCGTCCAGTTTTTTTCAAATAGTTCATTTCGTTGTTCGCCGTTCATGACCTGGTCTCTAGGCTTAAATGAGACAGCTGGGGTGTCAGTGGCGTGCGGGAACAAATTTCTGGCATATACTATTTGTTTTCGGCGCTTTTGCCGAATTTTGGCAGTCCTGTGTGCACGCTTGACTTGAACATTTGGATATTTCCATTCACCAGGCCTACATAGAGTGTATCTAGTGACGTACTCGGTAGGGGTGATTCCCGTGGTGAGATTCCTCCTATTTCGGAGTGCGAAGAGTATACTGCTCAGGTGTCTTTCCCAGCTTGTGGGTAGTGTTGACCTAAGTACTCTTGCACGTATTGCTCTTTTTCAGCTCTGCATTTCGTTTCCCAACCGGGTTCGCTCTCTGGTGCTGATGAGATCCGGTGCTCAATGATGTTTTTTTCGAGGTGGATCCTGAAAAGTGCTTGAACCATCTTTGATCACCTCTTTTCAGTATCCCCACCTTGTGCGTATGCTATGCAGAAAACTGGTGGCTGTTTTTGACACCGCATCCGGCCTGGGCTCGGCCTCTACCCATTTACTTGCGATGCAAGTTCCCACAAACAGGACCATATTTCCGGCCTGGGTTTTTGGGTAAGGCCACATGGGGTCGATACTTATGACCTGGAAAGGTTCTTGAGGGAGAATCGGCATCTGGGATGCGGCTGGTTGCGCGTACGAAGCGTTTCATCAAGTCCATTAGACCTGTCGAGTAGTACAGTCTAGTTGCAGATTTGTACGTTTCCAGTGCCCCAGGCTGACAAGCATCCTCGTGGCCGTGGAATCGATGGAGTAGTCGGTCAAGCTTGTGTTTTGGAACTAGTAGCTGCCTGGCTTGACTATTTTCCATGGATGGTTATTTTCACAGACCATATTTGACTTCAAATGAATCCCAAAGACAACTTTCCCATGGCTCAAGACGTTGTCTTTCCTCCGGAGATAACGACCTTAGCATTTCCCATTCACCGATGGCATCCTTTACTTCAGGACAGTCTTATTGAGAAGCTGCCATCTCAGCTAACAGATCGTCACGCTCCAAAAGGAAACAAGTTTGAGGGCTAGCGAGATCTGGTTCGTCATCAGACTTGTTTTCAGATGGTTCCTTATAATCCAGCACAACTGGTGTGACGTGCGCAGATGTGTTTCTGACCAGAACCGACAATTTTGCTTGTTAACATTGCCACTGAGGTGAAACTTGCCCTCATCACTAAACATCACGTTGTTAAAACTTGAATCGATCGAGCATCAAATTGACAAAGCTAAGTCGGTTATTGGCGTCATCTGGTTTTAATTGTTGGACTAGTTTAATCTTATAAGCCTTCAAATGCAATTCACGCTTAAAAATTTGCCGCAAGCTCGTTCTTTTGATGTCCAAAGCCTGACTTCTCTTACGTGTTGACTGTTGCGGATTTCGCTGAACTGAAACACGATCACGCTCTACATTGTCGGCTGATCTTGCAGAAACTGGACGACAACGAGCTGTTATTGCTACCGTCGAGCCGGTTGTTTTGAACATTCTGATCCATTTCCGTATCACATTAGCGCTTGGAACTTCTCTTAAATCGCGTAAACCGTGTTGATGTCGATAAAAACGTCATGCAGTAATAACCGATTTATTGTTTTCATAATACGATCGGAAACAAAATGCACGCTGCGCTCCCGTGTACGGCTCCATGGCGACTGAATTTCCAGGCAACGGCGCGGCTAACAGCTTATCCCCCCCCCTCCCCCCAACCCGCGCCCCTCGTTTCCGAGAAATTTTAAATCTACATCGCCAACACTCTTATGGCTCGCCCTGTATATATGTACCCCCTTCCAGCTCCTGTTTTCCTAGTAACTGGCCGCACTTGATACGGCCAGTATGGCGTTATCTTATGAGATACAGAGCTGACATGTTGTGTGTCCTTGAGGCCGGTAGATGATTACTCGAAAGCCTTTTTGGCTTCGTCGGACACGATGGCGGTACCAAAATGGCACTCGCGAATAACGGCGCTGCGGGGGGTGGTCGTGCTGGTGTACCACTCTGTTGGATGTGCCATGGACCAAAGATAGTATAACTATCGTGGGGCCCGCGATTTGTCATGTGATTCTAACTCCCGCCGTTTACCTGCGCTTGCTTGAATTTCTTCACGATGACATTCAGAGCACCGGGGCAGAAATCACATTGAATCAACACGCGCAGGGGCCCATTTCAATGCTTTGTTTTAATTAGACAGACGGATTTCCTCGGTCCGTGCCAGTACTGACCTGACCGTTGAATGGCGGCCGAAGAGGACACCAGAACGCCCTTGCGAGCGCACTCTGGGCCTTGCGGCAAGACATTTCCGCTGGAGGTCAAGGTACGGTACCGAGTTCTAATCCGCAATCCTATCGCTCACGTGCGCACGCATACGACAAAACGTCTCACCTCGCCGAGGTCCGATACGTCTTTTTGGCCCCGCGTCGGAGACGGCGTTGCGGGGTAGTCGTGCTGTTAGATGTGCGATGCCCCAAAGACAGTATAACTATCGTCGGGCCCGCAATTTATCGTTTGGTCCTAACCTCAGAAAATACGAATTCAGGTTACAACCACGTTGTCAGTATTTATTTGCATTTTTGACACCAGCCCCTTATGCTCACCCCGCTGCCTTCACTCCCACGCATTATCCTCGCCACTACACGTGTGCTGCCCGTTGTCCTGGGCATCGCGACGGGGAAGATGTTCTTGAATCGAATTTTAAATTCGGGATTTATCGCATACACGTGCTTACTCTTCAGCGGCGGAGAACAGTCATATCTTCTCCGGCAGTTCACCCGCGCTTCGTCTAACCGATACGCTCTCCACCGCGTTATTGACAATATTTATTGAGGAAATAAATACATGAATTTTTAGCTCCATACGTGGGTACACATATTTTGGGGACTGATGCCAGAACGCAGGCTGGTGTCGGTTGTTGTCTATGGAATGTGTGATAAGTGAGGGTGAAGTATGTATGGTGGTGATAACATAATGTGACAACAACGGAGTACTTGACGATGTTACTACTGACATTGGTACGCTAGATGGGTCTTGTGTATTTGTACTGCGTCTCGCGGGCTCTTTGTAAGTAGGCCATCCGCTCAGTTTGCGTCAGATTACGCAGCGCGTTGAGGTCCGAGTCGACGTCTGCCTCCGAAAGGCCGTATGAAAGGTAGAACTGCCTGTACAAGTTTAACAGTTCTTCCCTTCGCGCGGAGAGCCCTTCGGTTGCGAGTCGCAACCTTATACTGGCCCTGGTTTTGCCCGAAATGCATACGTCTGTTGGCTTATCGTGCAGATATGCCAGATACAGACGTATGCTTTCCAAAAGGGAGGGCTCCTGGAGCCTACCCAATTGGTAGCGGGAGCCAGGCGCCGACTCTTTCGTCAATCGAGCTACGGGGGGGAAGAGCGGGTCGGCAAGTCCGGAAGGTGGGGGGACTACAGATTGTGTCAAGGTGTCACCCTGGACGAAATTGACGGGAGGTGGAGGCTCGACTGCGCCCTCCAGAAAGGTTGACAGAGGGTGGTGCAGTCGCATTAGCAGCCGGCCTATCGCGAATCAACGTTTCGCGTATGCCTCGGTACGAGGTTGCCTTAGGAGCAATGCGCTGTAAGTTTGCAGGCTCCGTTGGAATGCGACCCCTCCTTCGAGCATTGGCGTTTCCACTTCGGTCCGTTATAGCCGCGGCGGGATGTGTTTTGACCTGTTAATATTCGTCATGAAGTATGAATGCGAACTAGACCCCCACTTGAGCACAGAGTGTACTGGCATTTGGTCCGCTCTACGGTGCCACACGCGGGTCTATGTCTTGTCAGTCCGTTTCTGGTGAAGAATGCCTTTCCGCAGTCCTCGCAATTGTACTTGGTCTGTTTGGCAGGCCCCAGGTTGGCCGTATTACTGGCTCCTGTTTTTCCGGATAAGGTGCTTGAGCCTGCCTTGCTGGTTCCAGTGGCTAGAGGGCCGCTGGCGGTCTTGTTGCCACCCGCTGGCGGACTTTTCGGTTTTCCGCCCCTACCTCTCGGTAGTGTTATCGTAGGTGGCTAACCGCGGTGCCTTCGCACCGCATGAATGGCTCTCACCTCCTCTTGATGTGGCGGGGTTATTCCTCTTCTTTGCCGGGTCGGCCATTGCGCATGCTGGTGTAATGTTCTATCTGATGTGCGATGCCCCAAAGACTGGGGCTCGCTATTCGTCATGTGATTCTAACCTTTAATGTATGATTTTAGGTTAGAATCGTGTTGTTTATATATATTTCCTTTTTAACACCAGCCCTTGGCACTCAACCCGCTGTCTCCACTCCCACGCACTAACCCCGTCACCGCACGTGTCTTTGCCCGTTCTTGTGGGCGTCACGACGCGGTAGAGCCTCTTGAGACGATTTAAAATCGCGGGATGTCGCACACATGTGCACACTCCTCAGCGGCGGAGAAGAGAGTCATAGTTACTCCCGCCGTTTACCCGTATTCTTTCCCCGTTAATTTTTCCAGGCCTGTTCCCTTGACAGTGGTTTCGCTAGATAGTGGGTAGGGACAGTGGGAATCTCGTTAATCCATTCATGCGCGTCACTAATTAGATGACGAGGCATTTGGCTATGTAAAATATGCATATATGACCCTCAAATTGATATTGACAAGTCTTATATCATGTAACATGATCTAATAGGACAATAAACTATCTATCTATCTATCTATCATTCCGTATCAAAATAATTGAGTATAGTACGGACAGCACCCTGTTGTTGGCCCGTTTCACGGAGGACACTGCAATTCCGTTGGAACCAGGCGCCGAGTTGCCTCAAGATGTTTTGGCACTTTCGATCTCGTCCTGCCTGAAGGGCAGGAACGTTTTCGTGTCCTCCGTCAGCGGTTCATTATGAACGTCAGTCGTCTCTCGCGCAGGCGACTCCAAGATGCCGCGATACAACCGCTCGACCTCGTCGATAAGGGGAGTGATTTCATTCTCATCCAGCGGAGTTCCAGAGATTATTTTCTCCGCTAGAGAGCTACGGTTTTTATTGTAGAGGTCCTGCGCTTTTTTGAAACCTTCTGCCCTAGGACCAGGCCCTGTTGTTGCTTGGGCGTAGTTTCCCTGAGGGGGTTTGTTGCCCCTCTTCTCCCCCTGCTTACCCCCCCGCTGTTCTGGAAACTGCTTCATGATCCAGTCATCGATATAGGGGCCCAGCTGCACGTTGGCTAGCTCGAGACCCGCATTGCACAACTCCACAATATGACCCAGGTTGTCAGCTACAGCAGCCTCTCGCTCAGTGACGAGATAGCTGCGCAGCTGGTGGTTAACACTCACCTGGGTGCTGCGTTGTGCATGGGGGGGAGTGAGGTCGCGATTGCATCGCGCCCTCCTAGGCGTCGGCTGCATGAGAGGCGACATCGAATCATTACGCTGTCTCTTTGTACCGCCGTTCTGCAAAATTGGTGTAACATTATGTGCGTAAGGTGTCTTACCGTCTCCGTCGTCCTCGCTGTCTTCTTTGGTGGTAATATCCTGCGGAGATTGCTCCGCAGTTGTCGTAGTGTGAACTGATTCACCCTCGTTGTTGGGAGTTTCCACATGGGTACTGGCGCGCGCTGCACCAGCCGAAGGCACAGGCCGAGGGAGAGAGAGATTATTTGTTTGGCTCTCTTTGGCGGCACAGAGGTACTCTTTGTAAACAGGTTTGGTCCTTCTGTGCCGCACTTGGTCGCGAGTAATGCCGGTATCCGAAACCATATTGTCTATAAAGGGTTGCCCCTTTATAGTGGCAGCTTCTATTTTCGCCATTATTTGCATAAGTTCGGATTCCGGCCTTTTCAGCCTCTCCCTCTTCTCATCATTCACTGCAGCGGCGTGTGCCCTGTGCTCATGCAGTCGCACGCCAGTCAAGGATGAAAACTCCGACCCGCAATACTGGCATTTGATCCACTCTACGGTGCCACACGCGGATCTATGTCTTGTCAGTTCGTTTCTGGTGAAGAATGCCATCCCGCAGTCCTCGCAATTGTACTTGGTCTGTTTGGCAGGCCCCAGGTTGGCCGCATTACTGGCTCCTGTTTTTCCGGATAAGGTGCTTGGGCCTGCCTTACTGGTTCCAGCGACTAGAGGGCCGCTGGCGGTCTTGTTGCCACCCGCTGGCGGACTTTTCGGTTTTCCGCCCCTACCTTCGGTAGGGTTATCGCAGGTGGCTAACCGCGGTGCCTTCGCACCACGTGAATGGCTCTCTCCTCCTCTTGATGTGGCGGGGTTATTCCTCTTCTTGGCCGGGTCGGCCATTGCGCATGCGCAGGATGACCGGAGCAAGCAAGATTAAGAGTCCTATCCTTTCTGCGTATGGGAGTGAAAACCGTTTGCCGCTACGTAGTCTGGTTCCGGAGATATCGTGTATAAAAGATTTTATCTCCGGAACTACCCCCTCCCAGCTCCTGGTATCCTAATACCTGGCCGCACTTAATACGGAGCTGAGCTGAGATTTGGTGTGTGTCCTTGGGACCGGTAGATGATTAGTTGGACGCCTTTTTGGCCCCGTCGGAGACGATGTAATTGCCAAAAGGGCAGTAGCGGCTAGACGCCGGAAACCGGCGTTACGGGGGGCAGTCGAGCTGGTGTAATGTTCTATCTGATGTACGATGCCCCAAAGACAGTATGGGGCCCGCTATTCGTCATGTGATTCTAACCTTTAATGTATGATTTTAGGTTAGAATCGTGTTGTTTATAAATATTTCCTTTTTAACACCAGCCTTTGGCACTCACCCCGCTGTTTCCACTTCCACTCGTTTTCTCCGCCTGGTGACGACACTGAAGTCTGCGTCATCGTCGTCAGCGGTCCTCTTGTGCGCTTCTTCCATTTCTTGGGCATCCATGTCCCTGTTTCCCGTAGGCTGCTGGTCCTCGCCTTCTTCTTCTGTTACTGCCTTCTTCACCTTCCTCTTCGCCTTGAGGAGCTTCCCTTTCACTTCCTCTATCTCCTGCCTCGCCTGCTTGAAAGCTTCTTGCAGATTTTTCATCTGCTCTGCAAGCATGGCGAAATTATCTTCCTTCTGTTTTAGCTGGCTTGTCAGCTTTTCGATTCTCGCCATCGTGGATAGCAATCGTATCGCGATGAAAATCACAATAAGATCGCACTGTAAGTCCGGGTGGGTCGCAGTCGCACAAGTGTACACTCGCGACGGCTGCTAGCTCGGAACTGACCACGTCTCAAGTTATATATATATATATATATATATGAGAAGTAGTCATTGCCAAAGCCAACGACTAGTTGGGTACAAAATACAATTACTTGTTAATTGGGAAATTGGCAAAACTTTTAGGCTTAAGTTGACTCTTTTGACGATAAAATCAAGCTTTCGGCATTCTCTATGGAGCCATCATCAGGATTCTGAAAACACAATAGTGATGCTAGCAAAGAAGACAGATTTAAAATGTCAGACAAATTACTCGTCGGTGAGGTTGCAGCCACAAGGTGTTTCAGAAAGAACGTAGAGAAGATCGAACTTGTGTTCAGTATAAAAACAAAAGGACGGGGACATTGGGTTTGTTAAAAAACGACAGATACCTTCGTTAAAAGTTAAGAAAAAATAAAAATTATATCAATACACCCGAACAAGCTAAAAATATTACACGTGGGGAGACATTTTGTTGAAACAATCGGAATGCAGTCCCTAACCTTCTACTACCGCTACACGTGGAGAGGGGGAAAGGCACGGAACGGTACAGCGTCGACAGAAGACAAGTGATTGACGCGACGGAACGTGGAAATGTACACCTCCCTGTCCAACTTTGGGTGAAAATAACGTTAATAATATCACCCCCATCGCCGGAAACACAAGTCCGACTCAGACGCCTGACATGTCAGAGAGGGTACTGAATGTCAGTGAAAATGAGTTGGTATCGCCAGCAGCTTCTCCAGAAGAGACACTTTGGAGACAGGATGTTGCTCAGACTGCCCGTAGCTGCAAGTTGACTCGAGCGGCACAGCAACACCTGGAGGTGAACACGGTCACCCAGCTGCTCAGAAATGCAATCTCCGAGGCTTGCGATTTGCCTATGGGGAAGCCCCAATCGCAAATAGACATTATACATGACAGAGTCACCGCTCTCTTCGTCAGCGAGGAGCGGGGAGTTGCAGGGCGACGAAAGGGAAGGCGTAGAGGACAAAATAAGAGGGGTAACAGACGGTACCTCTACGCCCGTACCCAGGACATTTACAAAAAAGAACCAGGCATTCTTGCCAAATACGTCCGTAACAACGTGGACTGGCTGGAGGAACCAGGGGTAAAACCTCCAGGCCAAGACGTGCGGGACCTGTACAGAAAGCTTTGGGGCACAAATCTGTCTGAGGTACAAGTGCCCTTCCTGGGAGAGCCCTCCGAACCAGCACTTGAGTTAGGTACTGTCCTATCCGCAGTAACGGCGAAGGAGGTGAGCACGCGACTCTCCCGGATGAAAATGTCCACAGCACCGGGGCCCGATGGTATTAAAAAGGGACACGTTAAACGCGTTCCCGGTGCAACCGAAGTCCTCCAATTATTCTTTAATTTGATCATGAT